CAGGAATGAAGCTTTTTCTTTATTCATGGGTTACAGGCTTAAAATGAGTGCCCTTCCAGCTCACTGTGGTGCCCAAAGTAGCAGGCTTTCCATGTGCCAATCAGATACTGACCCTGGGAACTAAAACCTGAAGGCCAGGGAATAGCCCCTGCCAATTGGGGTAAAAAATAACAATAATAAAAAAATATTGTGCCAATATTATCACATTTGACTTTTGTTGATGAGACATTTCTGGCGTAAAGCAAACGTTGTAAAGGCAGTGCAGCCTACATCATAGAAACAGTTCCTAGCAATAGGGTTCAAGGGGAAATCAGTCTCTCCTGGGTGTTACGTCAGCAGGTAGACTTCAAACTTGAAGTTGCTTTCTTGAAACACTCACTTCTTCCCTTTGTGGCTTACCACAAATGAATGATGGCGAACAGGTTAGTTCGGGGCGGGGGGGGCCTGTCACTTGCATCACTGCCCAAAGAAAAGCCATGGAGCTCCACAAGCTGACGCAGTGGACAACATTGGTCTGTGTATGGCTGCAACAGCCACCTTGGCAGAGAAATTCCTGATTGTGATAAAAGGAGGGGCAGAGGAGATTTCATGAAACATCTACGGTCAGAGCTCTTACACCTGGAAATGGATGACCATAGACTTTGTAGTCATGCGGTCCTGTTTACATTAAAACTCCATTTCCAGTTTTTCTTTCAAGGTTAATTAGCCTTGGTGGTTGCTAAGGATGTTTTTGTGGTAAGTTCAAGTATATACAATATTTCTGAATTGATACAGCCCCCTTCACAAAGTCTCTTTCTCCAGGGGTGAAACAAGACAAAGGAGGATTCCTTCTCCATCTTTTTATTGCTTTCCACTAATGTGGCTATACTATTGGTAATAAGCAATTTTCTGATGTGTATAAAACTCTCCTCTACCCTACTGAGTATAATCTAAATCAGATCTAAACACACATCCGTGCACTATAGTCATCTAAATTATTTACAAGTGTGCTAAATACAAACAACTCTCAAACTCTGATGCTCTTTAATGAAGTCCAAAATTTGGCAAGTGTCCATGATAAATATAAAAATTTTAAGGAATTCTTCAGACATAATTGCTACAAAAGCCAAGATGTTTTAGACCATGTTCAGAACACCTCTGTAAAATATTGTACAAGCAGTAAAGCCAGTAAATTGTCTTTAATATTCTGTACATGTTTAAAAGCAGCTGTAGCTGATTTGCTCCAAATAATATCTTAAAATGTTATACAATAAAATGCTCATCACCATGCATCCTGAGTACTTTGTCACTGGAAATGAACCTTGACCAAACTGCCTTTTGAACTATGCAGTGAGCAACTCCTTAATTAAAAGTAACATTGTTTTGTGACAGCTGAATTAAGAAGGCATAATGTCAGGCTATAAACTAGTTTCCATCCTATTTTTAAGGGTGATCTAGAATGTGAAAGTAGAATATTACAGTCATATTTTATAAGTTCTTTAATGCTGGAATGTCTGCTTTCCAGGGCATTTATTCAGCATTTCATACATTTTAAGTGCTACCAGAGTAAAGCGGTGCTGTGGTGAGATTGATTTTTCGTAAAATAGTAGGCAAACGGCAGCAGTTAAGGCTCCTTGAATATTTTTGGCAGAATATTCTCTCCACAACAGCAACTTTAATATGTGAACTTAATTATAGTATCTTAGTATATCCTCCTTATAAATACTTTCTTGTGTACATATGAAATTACTATTGTCCTTTGTTTCTTCTCTTGTGTTTGTAGTTTTTCGAGTACACATCCCATAATGAAATACGTTACAACACCCGACAGCCAGAAGTCTGTGCAGCAGTCGATTCAGGGACTGACTACTTGACAATGTACTTGTGTCAAGAAAATGTCCACAGTGTTCCTGAAAACCAGAAGTTTGTTTTCAGAGAGGTAAGTGTGCCTGCTTGGTTTCAGGTTTGTTTTTTTAGGAGTTGGAGGAGAATTGTTGGGTTTTTGCGGGGAGAGAGTGGGTGGGAGGAGAATTGTTGGGTTTTTTTCTTTTTATCTCTCTGCCCACACGTCATGCAGGCCACAACGTCAGCGTAAATCTCTGGGAGAAATATGCTGTCTTGGCTTTTAATATCTGAACATGTAACAGGGTAGCAGCAGCGTGCAGGTAAAGAGTATGTCAGTCATAAGAAACAGGAAGACAAGAGGAAGGAAAGCGCCCTTCTTAACCTCAAAGGAATTGGGAAGGTTGGCGAAGCTCAGTCTTCGCCTTGTCCACGTGTAGAGCTTTCCGTGTGCTGCTCAGGTCTCTCTGACGTCCCACCCCTACTGTCTTCTCCTGAGAACTGAGGTGCCTCCATACCCTTTCCCCAACCAGTCTCATGGGTGTTCTACTTTTGCTCTCTTTTCATTGACTTATTTTATTTCCTGGTGTTTGTACCACCATGTATCCCTGATACTTCACATACCACCATTACTTTATGCTATTCTGTGCTTTTGAGCAGCTGCTGCTTCTCCTGTGCAGACCATTTCTCTTGACCCTCCCTGTGAGCACCAGAAGTGCTCCCTGAGCTTTTCTGAAATGTAATGTGCAGTTGTGTAATTTGATGCACCATTATCAGCTGCCCGGCGGAAAAAGACCTGGGGGTGTTGGTCAACAGCCGGCTGAATATGAGCTGGCAGTGTGCCCAGGTGGCCAAGAAGACCGAATGGCATCCTGGCTTGTATCAGAAATAATGTGGCCAGCAGGACTAGGGAAGCGATTGTGCCCCTGCACTCGGCGCTGGTGAGGCCGCACCTGGAATACTGTGTCCAGTTTTGGGCCCCTCAATACAAGAAAGACATCGAGGTGCTGGAGCGTGTTCAGAGAAGGGCAACAAGGCTGGTGAAGGGTCTGGAGCACAGGCCTTATGAGGAGCGGCTGAGGGAACTGGGGTTGTTTAGCCTGGAGAAAGGAGGCTGAGGGGAGACCTTATTGCTCTCTACAACTATGGGAAAAGAGGTGGGTGTCAGTCTCTCCTCCTAAGTAACAAGTGATAAGGCAAGAGGAAATGGTTCGAAGTTGTGCCAGGGGAGGTTTAGATTGGATATTAGGAAAAATTTCTTTGCCAGAAGGGTTGTCAAGCATTAGAACAGGCTGCCCAGGAAAGTGGTGGAGTCCCCATCCCTGGAGGTATTTAAAAGACATGCAGATGTGGTGCTTGGGGACATGGTTTAGTGGTGGACTTGGCAGTGTTAGGTTTACATTTGTACTTGATGATCTTAAGGGTCTTTTCCAACCTAAATGATTCTATGGTCAAAAAATACCTTCTGCCCTACTCCTACCCCTACACAGGATGCATCTTACTGGCTGTGGGGACTCAGCAAATCTGTACCTCTCTTCTTCAAGCCTAATGCCTACTCACAGAGGGGAGGAATACTGAGAAGTATGAAGTATATTAATAAACATAAGGTGATCTTAGAAAACCTTGTGGTTAGTAGTTTTTAATCTCTGAAGGGGTTCCTGGATGCCTGAGAGAAAATAAATTCGATGAAAAATGATGGCCTTGGTCAGGTTTTGGAGTGTTATTATTTGGCTAAGGGAAAAGGTCACATAATATATCAAAATGGTATATTTACATAATGTGTCTGCATAATGCATATAAACTCTACAGACTCCACAGTTGACAAATTTCATGCTTAGATACTACCACCAGTGATAGGTGGCAGAGTAAATTCTAAAGAAAAATGTGAAAAGTACTGTCCATTCACTAAATCTAGTCCAGACTGAGGCTCACAGTGATATTACTGAGTAAGACAAAATATTGAAAAGGCTGACTTCATAAATGACATTTCATTTTCAATGATGACTTTTAACAACCTTTTTCAAGGTCATATGCATTAATCCCTAAAATGACATATAGTGCACGAACCTCAGTCACTTGAGGAGATAATTGAGAAAACATAGTTTTGGAATACATCTGTTTCCACTGCATTCCTAACCATTAACTTTTAAAATAATTCCTAAAGTTTCAGATGCTAAATCCTCTGTCTTTCTCGTGATCAGTTTGTGTCTGTGTGTGATTTGAACGTACTGCTCTGTTCCAATTCCTCCTCTTCTATTGCATTAAATCAAAATCACCAGTTCCCACCTTTCAAGGCAAGTGATGGGCGAGGTGTCAGTACCGCATTTCTCTTGCTTTGTGTGGAGAAGTGTCAGACACTGGAAAAGCTGTCCTTATGGATGTAGCATAATCAAAGATTTGAACAGCCCTCCCAGCAGCCTGGCAAGGATTGAGTTCTTATGGTCACTGAGTCAAAAATGAGTGAGGCAGGTATTGATTAGTCCACACAAAAATTTGAATTATCATGATGGAAACAGGAAAGTCATTCAGCAGCTAAGTCTGTCAGCAAGCCTGTGAGCAAGCACACACTGCTGGGCGTCAGGGGCTGCGGCTCGAGGCACAATTAGTGCGACACTCCTGATGACGGAAGAGCAGACTTTTAGAGGAGTCGGGCTTACAGTCAGAAACAAGGTGTTGGCGTTTTTCTTCTGAGGCCATCGGAGGCTTTGGAAATAGTTATGTGTGGGAATGTCACCTGGGAAGGAAGGGTCTCAGAGCAGGGCACTGCTCCACAGTTGGACACGCCGCCTTTTTGCTGCTCACTATCCTAGTTGACAGCACTCCCGGATCGGAGCAAGCGACATGAACTGGAAATAAAATGTTCCTGGAGACTCCCGTAATAGGAGGGCCTGAGGCCTCAGAATATGTTCTCTGGGGAATCTGATTGTGGAAGCCTGTCAGACCTTACACCTTGGAGGCAGCTGTGCTGCCCTCCAGCAAAGCAAGCTAGTTTCACACACATCTGCAGGCAAGGGGCACGCTTAGATTATTTTGCCTTTTCCACTAAAAATATACCCTGTGAAGAAAGGGGAAAATTTTTTTCTAAAAATACATCCAACATCTACACTTAGCTAACAACACTGACATTTTACTTGCAAGATGTGCAGTAAGTTGGTGAATTTGGGTAATGCCTGTACTTGGCTTTGGTTTTCTCTGCCCATATTCTGGTGCAGTAACAAAAGGCAATGAAAGTCAGTTAAGTTAGCACATCCTTTACAGGCACAAATCACTCTAAAGCAGTGTTAATATAAGTTTAAAAGCAGGGTCTTTTGATAAAGTTTCAGAGATCCTCAAGTTAGGCATTTTGCCTTCACTGCATGGCCCCATGAGAAGGATATGTGTGATATTTATTTGTTACAAATGTCTTCTGTTACTTTTAAAATACAGTGATATGCCTGCAATTTTTAAAACCTGCAAAGCAAAAACTATTTCTGTGTTTTGTAGGACGGTACTTTGTTTCATCTACACACCCAGAAGTGCGTACAAGCCCAGTCAAACGCTTACAATGGTAACCCAGCACCGTTGTTACGACCCTGTACCAACTCGGACTACCAAAAATGGTTCTTCAAAGAAAGAAGTTGATCCAGATGTCATCTAGGATATTGCTGAATATGAAAATGTTCTCTTTCTAGTCAGCAGTTAGTCAGCCTTTTGAAAATCACACAGGTGATATATTTTTGTACGGAAAGAACTGTAATTAGTTTACAAGCCTTGGATTTTGTTTTCTGGAGCATTAAAAGGCACTAAGCATTGAGAGCTACGTAAAGTAAGTGCTGTAGCTGTATCATGCTACAGAATCTGCTCCTCTCTTCTCTTTATTTGGCAGCTACATAACTGCTTCTGAAGTGTCCGAGGGTCTTTTCACAAGTGACGATATATTTTTTTAATCTACTGTGTGAAAGTAAGGCAGTGAAAATAATTGCACTAATGTTATCTGCCAATAACTTAAAATGTTTATTTTTCTACTAAAACATTCTGCAGCTGGGCCTTTTAACAGATAGTAGTTGTTAATTCTTCTTGTCTCTTAAATACCAAGAAGGTAAATGTAGGCTAGATTCTGCCCTAAGTGACTACCACAAAACCCTCACTGAAGACAGTGTGGATTGCACATGAAGGCAGGGTAGGTCTGCATGTTTTTGCACAAATAACAATCTAGATGCATACGGATTGCACATGCTTGTCAATACTATACTTTAAATGTTGCGACAATTTTAGATGCTCATGGCACTTGATGAGTTTTTAATCATGCTTAAGTCTGATTTTGGAGTAAACGGGGATTTTCTCATCTTCCTTAAATAAGGCAACGAGATTTAAAGGTGATGCTCTGGGAAAAGCTATTTAGATTCACACAGATCTAGCTATGGAGATGTGTCCCAGGCTGCACAACTTACTTTAACATCATGTGGGTTTTCAACATGCATAAAACTTGCAAGATCAGACCTAGCAATAATTCTTTTGACAAATTTCCAAATTACAGTTAGAGAAAATGCATCTAAAAAATTGTATCTTTCATTAAATTGTAAATGTCTAAATGGTTCATATAAAAGTGATTGTATAAACAAAAATGGTTTTGCAACTAATTGATATGACATGCAGCTGATATTAAGACAAAAAGAATTGTCTTTCAGGTACAACTTCCATTTCGTCTGGGAACTGCTTTTCTGATAACTTGTTCATGTCAGCACATACAGTTCTATTTAAAACATAGGGTTTAATCTGCACCAGTACAGGATGTTTTCTACTGTGGCGCATGGGATCTGCCTTACCCAGACAGGTAGTGTGTATAGCAATGTATTTGGTCATTGACCATCATCATTACAATGTTGATTAAGAGGGTCTCAGCTCATAAGGAAACTTCCTTTCTGCATCAGCTGGAGGTATGCATATGTGTGGAAGCATGAAGATTTCAACCTTTTTCCCCCAGAAGTCTTGGCATCTGTTTCATTTAGTTTATACCATTATTTGCCTTTGTTCATGTTTTCTATAAAAAATGTACAGTCCTTTCTTTGAGTCCTCATAAGCTCATGTAATTTTGGCATAACTATTTATATGATTAGGGTGTGGGGGGAGGGTTTCTGCCTGTAGGAGATACATATGTAGGTTCTTCCAAGGGCTTTCTTAACCCATGTAGATGGAATGTTTTTGTGAGCACCTTTGAAGTTTTGTCTCTGTGGGCTGGACTGATGAATTGATGTTAGAATTAATAAAATATTTTGTGATTCCGTAGAGTGGGAACTGTCTTTACAACTATGAGATTTTTTTTCTTATGGTCACTGGTTTTCTTTTAATCATTTTACTGATCTCTTAGGCTCTGATCCTTGCAGCACCTGGGAGAAGACAGCTTTATTTTATGGTCTCTGAAGTTCCTTTTCCTACACTCAGTAATGCTTCTGTTCACCTGCTAGCATCAGTGGTGTGCACTTTGTGGAGCCACAAATCAAAACTGGGTGGTTGCGTGAGAGAACTATGAGAGCTCCAGCAACACAGCAAGGTTTTTCTGTTCATTTCTGCTTTGCCTTCTTGACTGTTGATTGAATTACATTAGTAAGTTAATGAGAGCCTAGCTGTTACAACTGTAGACAAAATTCTCATTGACCTCCATGGTCAATGAGGTTTTCTTAGGTTTGGGACTTAAAGATTTCATCACCAGGTGGTGGTATGCAAGTGAAACTTAGTAAATGGAAATTATTTTCCATACATCTTCCCACTCTGCACTTGTTTAGAGGGAAGTATTGATGTTTTGGGCTTCTAGTTACATGCAGCTGAGCTGTTTTCTCATACACCAGCAAACCTGCTAGCCTGGGTTGAATATTTGCTAGGCAGATGCACCTATGTTGAGTTCAAAAGCAGACACTGAATGTAGCAACATCACCAGCTGGCTCCCCCTATGTTGGCCTTTCAGTCCATCTACTTACCATTTTTCTCCTTGATATCCTTTTCTTCTCAACTCACTGGAAGTGTATTAATGTCTGGCTTCAGGTTTGGAGCGTGAAGGATTCCATCAAACATCTGAGTCACAATGCACATCTTCAGCCTTCCTTTTGAAGGGAGGTCAGAGCTACCTGCTGAGATACAGACTGTGGACTTTGGGCTTCTCCTCAGCAGAGAAGGGGCTGCATGCCTCACAGAAATGTAAGAATTGGAGGACTTCAGTGGCAAATCGATACTTCATCTGGTTCTGGCCTTCTAGGGCTCTCTTTGAAAAAGAGAGAGCGAGGAACCCCTTCCACATGGTCCAAGTCAAGGACCAGTAGGTTCCTCCATTTCTTAGTATTCATCTTCCTTTTATACTTAGAGACGTGTGTTTCTTTCCCCCTTTGCCACTAACCATGTGAAGCACCCATAAAACCAAAACTTACAATTCAAGCTTATTGATAACCTTAGATTTAAATAATGGGATACTGGCAGCACAAACTGGGAGATCTGAAGGGTCCTTCTTCCATTTTTTGAGGACTTTTTAAAATTCCTTTTTTCCATTTTTTAAAAAGGACATTTTTTACATATAGAGAGATCGACTGAACAAATTGTCCTAAGAAGGTATCGTCCCAGCGCACAGTATGCCGTATAAAATTCTAGGATAGAGATGAATAAATCTGTCTTCCAAATGGATTTTATTCCTTCCTTATTGCCTCGCTGTGAATACAACCCCTCCCATGTTTACTGCCCTTTTTTAGGCATTATACTGGATCAGCATGATTTTATGTTCTCCCAGGCTCCTTCCATTCCCCTTGTCTGATATTCCTTGGATGTCCCTAGGTACAGGGCATATTTGGTATGGTTGAGGCACAAACGGTTAAGCCAGGAGAAGAGAAGTATTTCACAAAACTAAACTGTGCAAAATGTTTTCCCAGTTTTCCGTATCCTGTGCTGAATACATTTCATGAGGGGAATAGTAATATGCAAGGAATCTCTAATCTTTAATAAATTACCTGATGGTATTGTCCCCAAAATGAGAATTTGCAGTTGTAAGTACTGATTGAACTTGCTGATTTTTTGGAATTAAAAAAATTTGTCATTAAAAAAAATTGTAATTAAAAAAAACTTATTTCTTAGTCTTTGTATTCCTTTATTTTAAAAAAAATTGCAATCCAGATTGCAGTCTGGTGCCTAATTCTTTATCATCGTTATTTTGCCAGTTTTTTTTCTTTTATTCTTCCACTGTTCTCCTTTCATTTAAACATTGTGGGTCTTCAACATGGGCTAGAATTTACTGGACTTTCATTTCAACAGTGGACAGTATATTAACCTTCCTTCTAAGAAATAAACCACTAAAACCTCTGTATGTGCAGTCTTGACCAAACCATTATGATGGAGGATTGTTAGAGCTTGCACAAAGACCCTGGAACAACAGTCATCACGGTATACGCATCGGTCAACATGAATTGGAAGCAGTATTTCTTGCTAGCTCTGCGGAAACAAAGACTCAAAACTGTGTTCAATTTTTGTTATATTTATAGGAACTGATAAGATTTACTGGAAGGGGAAATTCATGCTGGTTGGTAACACCAGCACTGATGGGATTGTGCTCCTATTCCCTATGTATGAAAACACGGGCAGTTACACGGTGATACTGCTGGGTTGGTAATTAAAAAAAATGATGTTCTTTTAATTTTATTTGGCTCTCTTAAAGCCTGTAGATTGGGAGATTAATTTGAAGTTGAGCTGTGTTCTGATACCCTGATACAAAGACGTAGCAGTCAAGAGAGACTGTAGGGTTAGGGTCATGCAGTTGTGTATATACGCTTATAACTGGGGCGGGGTTTGGCAGTATTTGAGAATGAGAATGCTGTATAAGCTCATAACGAAGGCAAAATCTTGACTGTGCTAGCCAGTTAGTTGAGGTAGGTGGGAAAGCCCTTGGGAGGGAGGATAGCAGAGCTCCCCCCATTCTGTCAGGGTGCTAGCAGTTTAACTCCAACAGCCATAGCTGGGTTTGAATTAGAGCATTGCAGTATTCTTCCACTTCCCATTTACAGAGGAAAGCACTTATGCATGTATATGCAGTACTAAAATTACTATGCCCAGATCAACAGTTTTCAATCTTTTTTTCCATCCATTACTAACTGACATTTATATGAGCAGACAAAGCCTGTTAGGCCGGTCCTACCTAGTCAGCATCGACAGGAATGATGCGTAGATGACATACTTTTAGAGGCTTCCAGGATTTCCAAAGGGGGTTGGAGGCGAAAACAGGGCAGGACCTTCTCAGCGACTTCTAACTCCAAAAGCAATAAGAAAGAAGATGGAAGATGGAGGAAGTGAGTCACTGGCCTGATGGGTAGCGTGACACATTTCATGTAGCATCAGACCATCTCCCAGAGTGGGAGAGGACTTGCAGCAGATGCAATTTCTTTCTTGGTGATAAGGGAAAAATCAGTTTTCTGGGTTTCTTGGACTTGTCCGTGCTCTGAAGGTATTTAACTTGCAGCTGAAGAAAAGTGGTCAAGGGAGTCATACCAGTACAGATACTTAGACCTGAAATTCATGAATTAGGTACTCTGTGATGAGCAAATGTAAAGAATATATAAAGAACAAAAATGTTAACTGTGTATACACTGTGAGAAGAGTTAGTAATAACTGAGAGAAATTGGAGATGCTCGTTAGCAGAAAGATACTTGACATAACTGTTTTTACTGAAATATAGTTGAAGGATTCACATGATTGAAATGCTGAAGTGACATGGGTAACATGCCAGGAAGAAAGTGACACTTGATTTTCGAGCAAAGAGAACAGGATTTGCAATTCTTGTGAACTGGTATTTTAGCCAACGAGGAATAAACAAATACAGAGGGTGTCTGGTGTAGACCACCAAATAAGAATATAAACTCTTTTTGTATAACAGATAAAGGATGTGTGCTACTTTAGAGGATTTCATCCTAGGGGATGCACTTTACCGATTTCATG